AGGGCTGTAACAATAGAGGGAAAAGAAGTAACACTGCCACTTAGAGGCTGGAGGCTTGGAAACATTGTCTTTTCTTTTTTCTCTTTGATGATTTGACACTTCAAGGCTTCTGAGTTTGTTTACTGAAAGTGATAGTAGGAAGAGCACAGGTTATTTACACAGGTGTTCTTTGGGAGTTCTATCACCAGCTGGATTGGAGGGAAGACTAAGCCTTGACTTGAAAAATTATAATGAACTTGCTTGAAATTTAACAAAAAGCCTTGAATGCTATAATGGCAGTGTTTACAAGTTGGAAGAATGGTGCAACACAAAAAAGAAACTATAACATTACAAATGATTATGTTTGAAATTCAAAAAATACTAGTAGTAACAGAGAAAATTGAGAAGAGATTGGAGAATATAGAATACAAAACAGAAAAATTTGATGGAAAAATTGAGGATGGTTATCAAATGAATAAAGTGGAGTTCTAAAAAATTTTTATAAAAGAAAAATGAGCAAAGAGATAAGAAAATTGTGGATACTGACAACAAATTGAGCATGGTTGGAAATGGCAAGAGCGGAATATGGAAAGGGGAGATAGATGGACTGGAACTCTACCACAGATTTCAAAGTATAGAAGAAGAAAAGAGAAAAAAATTGATGGATGTAAGGAGAGAAATCTTGACAAAAGCACCAGTGATAACCAGAGACAAACTGATGGAAGGAGCAGATGGAGGGTCTCAAGTTTTTATAAGATATGAAATGAACAAGTTGCAAAGAGAAGTCCATACAAGACTTACCAAGAAAGTAATCAGAATACTAATACTACAAATAGCAAGAGATATAAAACTGCACTATTACTGGAAAAATACAGGTTGATGTAATGAAAGTGTATAATAAAAATTAAGTTAAACAGTTAAATTTAGAATATTATGTATAAAATGAAGTGATAATAGTTATAGTCAAATAATGATTAATAATGATAATAATGCATATATATATTAGTTTGATAATATGAAATTTTATATAAACTACAAATGGAGATTCAAATGGAGGTTTAAAAGCTTTGTTATTAAATATAATCATTTTTTATTTAGAACATGTTATAAAGATGTAATGTTATTGGATGATTTTAGGAATATCTAATGGAATGCCATTATATAATTTATATTTAGAATATTTAATATAAAAGGATGTATAAACAATCATAGTCAAATGAAGGTTGAGGTACAATAATAGTAATATAGATAAATATATTTGATTTAAAAATATGTGATTTGATATGAATTGTAAGTCATGACTATGGAAGGGACTTTCTACAATTTGTAATGGAAGATAGTTTTATGTTTTTTGTTTTTTTGTTCTGTCCGTTTGGGTTTGTTTAAAAATTAAAAAAAAATGTTTATAAAAAAAATCTCAGCAGGAAGGAAAAAGAAAGCGGTTAAGCACAGAACACCCTATAAGAAAGTTTTATCTGAATGAGATGGGCAGCAACCATCAAACTTTGCAGCGTCTTCTCTCTCTCTCTCCTGCTCTCTCTCTCTCTCCTTCTCTCTCCCTCACACACTCTCTCCCCATCTCCCTTTCCCTCCCTCTCTCCCTTACATTTCTCCTCCTCTCTCTGTCTATATCCCTGTCTATCTTCCCATTCGCCTCTCCCTCCCTCCCCCCCTCTCTCCCTCCTCTCCTTCTCTTTCCCTCTCTTCACACCTCACCCTCACATTCTCTCCCTCCCTCTCTCTCCCTTTCTCCCTTTCCCTCCATCCCTTCCTTACTCCCTCACATTTCCCCCCTCTCTCTCCTTCTATCTCCCAGTCCATCTCCCCATCCCCCTCTCTCCCTCTCCCCACTCCCTCTCTCTCATACTCTCTCTCCCTCACTCTCCCCCTCTTTCTCCACTCTCTCCCTTTCCCTCTCTCTCCTTCTCCACCCTCCCTCCCTCTCTTCCATTTTGCTTAACGACCAAGTTGTCAGAATGGAACCAGGTCACTTTAACAATATGAGGGTCTCTTAACTCTCCAAAAACCCCAGTTCTTTTCCTTCTCAGCATTTGCCGTGTGACCTCCTATGGTCTCCTAGCAAACAATGGCATCCTCTCGCTACCAAGAACTGCCTTATTTTTAGGCTCCTCGCCACATCCCTTGGCGACAAAGTGAGCACCTGACCCTGGGCTTGCCCGGTTCCTTTTCCCACATCTGAACTGGGGAGGGTGTGTATGAAACAGCAGAGACACTTCAGGTGGTGTTAGAACAAATTCCCCTGCTAATAAGCAGCCTCTAGTAGCAACGAGGCAAATAACATATGGGAGAAAGAAGCAAGAAGTGAGTGGGCTCGAATCGTGTATGTATGTATATATATATTTCGCATTCATGCTGGAGAGCAAAGGCATTCACAAGAATTCTATAAAGGTTGCTCATCTGAATTCAGAAAGACTTGTTATTTTCTCGACCCGATAACAGTTGGTGAATTCTCTGGGGAAAGATACTCACCTCCGTAGCTACGTTTTGGTTAGCACCATTTTCCAGTAAGAACTTGACAACTTCCAGGTGATTCTCTTGGGCGGCCATATACAGTGGCGTGAAGCCTTTCTGCAAAGAGAGAATCAGCCGTGGGACATCAAACACCATACAAATAGCACAACCGACACCGGTGGGGAGAGGAACAGAGAAACTGCAGGAACCAGGCATGGCTAGTCAAGTGAAGAGAAGGACCAGGGGAGTCAGGATAGCAGTCTTCCAATATTTGAGGGGCTCAAACCAGGGATGAAATCCAGCAAGTTCTGACAGGTTCTGGAGAACTAGTAGTGGAAATTTTGAGTACTTTGGAGAACAGCAAATGCCACCTCTGGCTGGCCCCAGAGTGGGGAAGGAATTGGGATTTTGCAGTATCCTTCCCCTGCCACGCCCACCAAGCCAGGCCCACCAAGCCAGGCCCACCAAGTCATGCCCACTACCGGTAGTAAAAAAAAAATGAATTTCACTACTGGGTCAAACTATTTTCCAAAGCACCAAAAGGCAAGACAAGAAACAATGAATGGAAACTCACCAGGAACAGAAGCAACCTAGAACTAAGGAGAAATTCCCTAACAGTGAGAGCAATCAATCGATGGAGTGGCTTGCCTCCCCTAGTCCTTCTTTTCTCTAGACTAGACATAATATCCAGTGCCTGCAACCATTCTTTGTATGTTTTAGCTTCCAGACCCCTAATCATTCTTGTTGCTTGAGCAGAGGGTTGGACTAGAAGACCTCCAAGGTCCCTTCCATGATCGTACGAGGCTAAAACATATGAAGAATGGTTGCAGGAACTGGGCATGTCTACTTTAATGAAAAGAAGGACCAGGGGAGACATGATAGCAGTCTTCCAATATCTCAGGGGTTGCCACAAAGAAGAGGGAGTCAAGCTATTCTCCAAGGCACATGAAGGCAGAACAAGAAGCAATGGGTGGAAACTAATCAAGGAGAGAAGGAACTTAGAACTAAAGAGAAATTTCCTGACAGACCAATTAATCAATGGAACAACAACTTGCCTCCAGAAGTTGTGGATGCTTCAATACTGGACGTTTTCAAGAAGACATTGGACAACCAATTTTCTGAAATGGTATAGGGTTTCCTGCCTGAACAAAGGGTTGGATTAGAAGATCTCCAAGATACCTTCCAACTCTGTTATTCTGTTATCCCAGTGCCATCTGCTTTATTGAGCCCTGCCTTCACATGTTCTGAAGCCTGTTTGGGAGAAGAAACTGTAATGCTTATCACTTCCCAGCAGTTGACATGAATCCTTTTTGCTCTGGGAAGCTAAGCTCACAGATATTATTTGTCTGTTGTGCTCCTGTTGTTTCAGAAGCTGATCGGCTTCTCTACCCCCCAAAAATTGCAATTTTCCAAGATACCAGGATGTTAAGATTGGGACCAGCTGTTGTGTCTGTGCCTTAAAACTGGTAATTTCCTCCCTGCTGCCCTTGCCATGCGCTGGTGCATGGCTTTGAGGGAC